CTGACACAACCCGACCCGACCCGACCGGACCTGGTCTGACACAACCCGACCCGACCCGACCGGACCTGGTCTGACACAACCCGACCCGACCCGACCGGACCTGGTCTGACACAACCCGACCCGACCGGACCTGGTCTGACACAACCCGACCGGACCTGGTCTGACACAACCCGACCCGACCCAACCGAACCTGGTCTGACACAACCTGACCCGACTCGACCTGACTGGAAATGACAGAACAGAATCAGAAGCTGGTTTGTGTCAGAACTTTTAATCAGGTGATTGAAACAGAAGTGAAACCTGAGAACTGGACCTTTAAGGATGGTTACAGTTCAAACAGAACTTTCAGAGAATTTTACTGTAGATTTGACACGAAAAGAGAAATTTGATCTCTTGTCCAAGTTTTACCAGTTTTATTTTGTAATTGTTGGACTGTGAAACTGGACAGGAGGTGGTCTTGGTCTCACTCCTCTGTCCCTGACTGCCTCCTGATGATGATGAGTGACACGGACCCTTCAGGTAAAGCCTTGATTGTGTTCCAGGCCTCGAAACGGGTCATGTCCTGCAGACTCAGACCCTGGACTTGCAGAACTTCGTCTCCACAAAGCAGGCCGCTCTGCTCTGCTGCTCCACCTGAACAACCAGGAAGAGTCAGCAGTTTGACTCAACGTTTCAGAGCAGAGCCTTCAGTGAAGACCAGTCCAYCTGAGGAGTTACCTTTAAAGATCCTGTTGATGACCAAAGGTCTGTCCCCGTGGATTGAGCCTTTTCCTCCCTCCAGAGTAAAACCAACCCCTCCTGCACCTTTCTCCAGCTCCACTCTCAGCTGGACCTCCTGCTTTTCTGCTGCAACAAGACAATCGAGCACTGTTGTCAATTCACAGGAGAACAAAAGATGAAATGTTATAAACCAAACTGTAGGGGATCACCTGCAGGGCTGTCCTCCTGGCCTCTCTGGATCCCGTCCTGTTGTGTCTCTCCAGCTCTCTTGCAGATGACGACCACAGCCAGTTTCTGACCGCGAGCCTGGCGCAGAGCTGCTGTGGCGTCGGCGTGTGTGACATCACGCACACTTTGGCCGTTTATGGACAGAACCTCGTCTCCTTTCTGGATGGTTCCCTCTTGAGCTGCCAGACCACTGGGGAAGACTCTGTGCACCTGGAGGAGGACCGACAGAGCYGAGGAGCTCATGACACTGATGAGGCTCAGGGTTAACGTTCAAACAATGAATCTAAGATATGTGTTTACTGTTGGAGCTTTGTTTTCCAGGTCAGAGCCTCCAGCGATGCTGAAGCCCAGACCGGCTCCCTCCTCTTTATGCAGGATCACAACATGGATGTCCTCCAGCTGCTGCACAGACAACAACAACAACAACAACAACAACAACAACATTAGACGCTGCAACGTTCTGAAGTAGGTTCTGCCAGCAGTTTCTCAAAGGCTCTAAACTTTAAATAACAGTTTTGCAGCTGTTGTTAGGTGTGACCAGGAGATCTTTTTCAAACACCAATAGGTATTTTAGTGCTGCCACCAGGTGGYGCAGTGGTGAGTTATCGACGTTAGCATGTGGCCATCATCAGGACTTCATGCCTGTGTATCAAGTACATCTTTGCAACCTTTAAATAATTACAGTGATGTCACCCCCAAAGATATGTTTGAAGTGAAAATGGGCAGACTAAAATCACCCAATCAGATTAATCTGTAACCACTGATAGACTTTGTTTACCAGGTTGTGAAGAAGCTTTGGCTCAAATTTTAGGTCAGTACAGTACAAACTGAAGATGAATTAGCAGTTAAGTGTGGCAAGTGAAAATTTCCTTTTTGTTAAAATTGGCCAACATTCTGTAGGTTTTATGAAATGATGTCAAGAGACTATTTTGTAGGACATGAACCGACGCACAAGATTTTATAGGTGTACGGCAGAAAAGCTGCAATCAAGATGGTGCCAGAGAGACAATTTGTAAACAGCACATCTGGATCTTTGCATCTCCCTATATTCCCACAAGTTTTAAGTATGTGCCAAGTTTCCAAAAGCTCAGCCCTCTAGAAGAGTGGAGCTGTTCAAGGAGCTGCTCTGGTTCAACACAGCTGAACCAAGGACTGTTTAATTAGTAGGCCTCCTCAGACGGGCCTGAATATGTCCTGGTTTAAGCAGGGGGACACGTCTGGCACTGCAGGACCTGAGTCCTTGTTGGAGCAGTGTGTTACGTTAGTCCCAGCCTTCTGCAGGTCATTCWCCAGGTCCCTCTGTGTGGTTCTGGGATTTTGGCCACTGTTCTTGTGATCATTTTGACCCAGCAGGGTCAGATCTTGTGTGGAGCCCACAGATCCCATGGTTGATTTCTTCACTCCAAGCTGCTTGCCAATTGCAGGTTCAGTCTTCCAGCCTGGTGCAGGTCTACAGTTTGTTTCTGGTGTCCTTACACAGCTCTTTGGTCTTCATCATAGTGCAGTTTGGAGTGTGACTGTTAGAGGTTGTGAACACGTGTTTTTAGTCACAGATCAGTAGTTAACCTGTGATTTTCTAGATCTGTCTTCTCATTTTGTCTCTCATAGCTGAGGTCTAATGATGTCAGTTACAGACCTCTTATCTTTTTATGTGGGAGAACTTGCACAAATGGTGGCTGACTAAATACCCCCCCACTGTATATGCCAAATTTCAGTCATAAGAGGGGTTGGTGTTTTAGGGGAGCTAGAGAGCCAGTTTGCCACGMCCACATCTGCTTCTTTGCACCTTCATTTCAGCTAGTTTACTGCCAAGTTTCATAAAGATCAGCCCACTTGAACATATTAACAAAAGCCTTACACCAGGACGAAAAATAAATCAGTTCAAAAACAATAAGGCCTTCGGCTGCTTCACAGCTCTCAGTCCCTGACAATAAGCCTTTCCAGCACTTTCACTGCTTAATAATAATAATATATCAATGGGCAGTGATGCTCCAAACATGATGAATTATATTTTTCTTTACCTTCACTGTTTCTTCATCCAAATCTTTAACTTCTTGCATCATCATCTGTTTCTCTTCTGAATGAATGGCTGAGATGACAGAGTGAGCAGATATGAGATTTACACCAGGGTCGTATCTCTCCTCTTCATCGATGGTGCATTCCCTCAGTGTGGCCAAGCTGTGGTCAAAAACAACGATGTTAACCTCAGTTACAGACAGAGGTTCATTAGATGATCTTGCAGATAGAGCTCTGTTACGCGCTGTTACAAAAGAAGAACAGTTAGCTTCTGTAAAAGATGAAGAACCGTTAGCCTCAGTTACAGACGAAGAACCATTAACATTTTGTTACAAAGAACAGTTAGCTTCTGTAAAAGATGAAGAACCGTTAGCCTCAGTTACAGACGAAGAACCATTAACATTTTGTTACAAAGAACAGTTAGCTTCTGTAAAAGATGAAGAACCGTTAGCCTCAGTTACAGACGAAGAACCATTAACATTTTGTTACAAAGAACAGTTAGCTTCTGTAAAAGATGAAGAACCGTTAGCCTCAGTTACAGACGAAGAACCGTTAGCCTCAGTTACAGATGAAGAACCGTTAGCCTCAGTTACAGACGAAGAACCGTTAGCCTCAGTTACAGATGAAGAACCGTTAGCCTCAGTTACAGACGAAG